GATCTTGGCTCACAGGATTCCCTCAAAAGCCATCGTGAGCCTTATCTGCCCAGGCACAGGGGGTGGCAGCAGGGAATTCGTCGACAGGCAAGGACAAAACACTGCCTGTGGCTGGTCAATGGTGAGTTTGTGAGCACATTTTCACTCTTGATAATGGTCTCGATAGTCTTTCTGTCTCATAGTGATGAGCCGTTCCTCCTCAGGTGCCGTCTTGCTTTTTGCCTGCAATATCCATTTTAGACGTTTCACTTTTGTTTTATGACAGTATTTCCCAAGGCCATTTTAGGAGGGGACATGGCTCCGCTTGCCATAAACACACTTGGCGAGTGTAGTTTTGAGTCCGCTTCTCCCTTTTCCTGTGCACGTCACTGTTCCTCGCCCTGGGGCATGTTTGGGCTTTGGGGGTTTGGAGGACATAATTGCCCTGCAGTTGTAATTCCTTAGAGAACAAAAGAAGTTTGAAACTACACATACATACATACACACACACACACACACACACACTCATACTTTACACATGTGGGCAACAAGAAGGAAATCAGGTTCCAATTGTTGAATTTTAAGAGAAAAACTGTTTTACTAGTCAGTTGAATCATAGTTACTTGAAAGGTTAGGGCGGTTTGTTCCGAAAGGAAGATTGAGCAGTGGTGTCCAAAGAGTGGCTCTGATAAGAAGATATTTGTATTGTAAGTATTTGCGGTTATGATTAGGCATGTGGTGTGTATGTTTTGCAGTCAGGTGTGTTCTCCTTTTCTGAGAAAGCATCACATCCGTCTCAGGAAAGAAGTCGATCTGAATCAAATGAGTCCTGCCTCTTATCTTCAACATGGTGTCCACGTGGACACCTTAGCGATCGATGTGGAGAAGAGATGTGGAAGATCTGGCACCAGAAAGATGGACTTGAATCCTAGCTCTTCTATCTAACAGTAGGGTAACCTTCCTTCACCCTCTGTTTCCTCATCTTCAGACCAGGAATTGTTGGAGGATTAATCATAATAGCTACCGTTTATTGCAGATTTACATTACCATAGGGCAGGTACTGCTACTAAGCAATTTACCTAAATTGTCTCATTTAATCCTCCAACATCAAGTGGGATCCTTTACCTCTGGACTGGGAAGGGCTTTCCAAGCACAGAGCCAGCAGACACTTAAGAGGGAGTGAGCTATTGACTTAACTGTATAACATTTAGATGCCAAACTCAAAAGGACTAAGCATAATGCTTACTCTAAAATGTTCAGAACTCTCAGACCTTTATAGAGAAATAAGCAAAGCTAGGAGTAAGTAGTTTAGAGAAAAGCAAGTACATTAACTGAAAAAATTTAAATATTTAATCAAAGAAATTAAAATAAAAAGAATAGCACTTTTTGCCTATCAAATTAAAAACACTGGCATTTTTTTTTAAGTGAAAATACTCAGTGTTAGCCAGGATATAGTGAAAGCTGCACCCTTTTTCGTTGCTGGTGGGCATGTACATTGGAACAGATTTTCTCTCGAGCGGTGTGACAGAATGTGTCAGGAGCCTCAACAAGTGTTCACACTCAGCTGATCTGGTAATCCCACTTCCAGGAACTTATCCTGAGGAAATAATCAGACATGTGGGCAGGAATTCATGTAAAATGCTAACTTCTCTGTAATTTTTAATTGGATACAACCCAAATGGGTGACAATAGAAGATAACTCCAGAGGAGAGAATGATATGCGGCCATTTACAATTGTATTTTTTAAGAATTTTGAATGAAGGAGGGAAATTCTCATAATATAAACATTATGATCTCAATTTTATAAAAAAGAGAAAAATACACATATAAGGAAAAAAAAAAAAACTAGAAGAAAATATACCAAAATGTCAGCAGCGATCTGTGTCTAAGTGGTGGGATTATGGTGGCTTTTATATGCTTTATACTTTTCTTGATTTGTTCAGTGGGATCCAGAGAAAGAAGAGGAGAAGGGGAGAAAGTTTGTGTATTACAAAACAGTTGTCTTTAAACTGTTAATGAAGTATTCTGTATAAAAACAGTAATTAGTGTAAACAGAAATATTTTTAAGACCTTCTCCACTATCTATAGCTTTAGTATACAAAGTAAATCAGGAAAGATAGACATGAAATCAAGTGTGTGTTCGCGCCTCAGACCTGGGAAAGGTGTTTTCTTTAAATGAAACCTCTCCCAGACCCCAGGCTGATGCTGGACAACATTAGTCATTAACACACATGTTGTGATCTACCGATTTTATATTTGAATATTTCATTCCACTCAACGGTTTTCTGACTGTAGAGGACATTGAGTGAGATTCTCTTTTGGCTGTTATATGGATTGAGAAATAGGTTCACTGACTACATTGAATCTGTGTGGCAGATTTGGGGATTTTGAAATGAATTTGTTTTAAATAAAGATGTCAAGTGTTGTGGTTCTGTTTTGGCAGGACCATCGCCAGTACCAGCCTTACATATCTGGAAGGGTGGGTTGCTTTAATTAACGTTCTCAGCAGTACAGTTGCAAGTACTTAGTGAAATTAAAAGCATTCTTACTTCCCTTTACGACTTCATGGTTACTTTCTCAGGGCTCAGTGCTGTGCTAGCCCAGTAACAATATGAGATCAGCATCACATCTGTAACTGTATAAAAGTAGTCTTGGGACTTCCCTGGTGGCGCAGTGGTTAAGAATCCGCCTGCCAATGCAGGGGACACGGGTTTGAGCCCTGGTCTGGGAAGATCCCACATGCTGTGGAGCAACTAAGCCTGTGAGCCACAACTACTGAGCCTGAGTGCCACAACTACTGAAGCCTGTGTGCCTAGAGCCCGTGCTCCGCAACAAGAGAAGCCACTGCAATGAGAAGCCCACGCACACCAACGAAGAGTAGCCCCCGGTCACTGCAACTAGAGAAAGCCCGCATGCAGCAAGGAAGACCCAATGCAGCCAAAAATAAATTAATTAATTAAAAAAAAAAAGTAGTCTTTCACCTTGTGGCTGTATTAACAGATACACACAAATACAGGAGCTCCTAGTATGACACAGTTCCACTGGTACATGACAAAATGGCGGGGGAGGGATATCTATATAGACAGATAGATTTAAATATAATTGCTAAGTATGAAAGTTGAAAGAATGCTTGTAGTGTCCAAGAATTTTAAAATGTTAGAGAAAAGGAGAATGAAGATGAGCTTTCCTTCGCCCAGAAGTTCTCAAACCCATTGAAACTCAATACCCAGTGCTAGAGTCTAGGGATGTGTATTTTACACTTGATCTTAGCCCAAAGGCACAGAAGCAATGGGAATGTGCATTTTAAAGCCTCTACAGGAAATTCTGATGCAGACCGTTGAAGCTGACGCTGTCTTAGTGGTGCTGCGCTGTCGTATATTTTATTCTGTGCTTCCCATATGATATCTACTAGCCACCTGTGGCTGTGGCTCTGGAGCTCTTGAAATGCAGCTAGTATGACTGAGGGACTGAATTTTTTATTTTAATTAATTAATTTTTAATTTGAATGTAAATAGTTACATGTGACTAGTAGCTATCATAGTAAACAGCAGCCTTAACCTGTAGTATATTGCCCTTCACTTGGGGATGAAATGAAGCCATTTTTCAGCCTGTCCTTCCCATAGGTTGTCCATTTCATTACCGTGACACAGTGATGCTCAGATGATGGCTCAGAGCTTTCACTGTAACTTGTGGGTACTGGTAGCAGCAAACGTGGCTCCAGAACCTCCTACTGAGAGAATCAAGGCGGTCGTGCGTTCCATAACCACGCCCACTCACGTGAGCTGGGTTTCGTTATATAATTTGTTCCGCAGAGTCCTCAGCCCCCTGCTCAGAACATATAATGGTGCTTCTCACAGCCTCCCTCATCCCACCAAACAGAAAACCAAAATCTCATTCTCACCCCAGGATGTCTAACTCATTGTTTGTTTTTTGTAGTTGTTTTATTTTTAGCTAAGGAAATCATATCTCATCTTCTGTTGTTTAAAGGGTTTAAAAGTTCAGCATGGTGAGTTTTTATGGGACTTTTATGCGAAGCCAAGTGTTGTAAACGTATCCAAGTTATCTCAGTAGTGTAGTTTACCAAATCCTTTTCCTATGCACAACGATCTGACTTCCCTTCAAAATAGGAAACAGATGGGTCCAGTGAGAATCCTCCAGCTATTCCAGGCACTAGGTTAGGATTTCTCACAATCTAAACCTGGTGAGATGAGCTTGAATGGAAACAAGAGTCCCCATCAAGACTGTAATGGGTGGAGGCAGGGGCTGTGTCTATCCGTCCTGGGCCGTCTTCTAGCGTCACAGCGTAGCTCCTGCCTCTCAGAGAGGCTTGGTGCCTGTTGGTTGAACGAATCAATGTTCTTGCCATAGAGAAAGTGGACTGAAGGGACCATGTAAAGAAGGGAAAAGATCCAGGGAAGGGCCACATTTGAGATAAAAGTGATTTGATTTAGGACAAAGTGCTTGCCCTCCATGACTTTACGCTGTTATATTTAGCAGGTAAGAAGAAGAAAGATTATAGTGCCAAATAACCTACAGGTGACCCTTTAACAACCCCTGGGGATAGGAGCGCCGATCCTCCACGCAGTCAAAAATCTGCCTATAATTTATAGTTAGCCCTCTGTCTGTGTGGTTCCGCATACGCAGATTCAACCAACTGTGGGTGGTGTAGCACTGTAGTATTTACTCTTGAGAAAAATCTGCTGTAAGTGCACCTGAGCAGTTCAAACCCGTGTTGTTCAGGGGTCAACTGTGGTTCTGTCTTGATGATGATCATTTACTACCGTGATGGTGATTTCCGAGACTAGTGATCATAAAGGACTCCAAAGCACTGAAAATGCTCACAGACGTGGAATCAGGAAAGACTGGTTGAATTTCAGTCTTAATAATTCAAATGCTCTTGTGTTTTGGCCTGTTTACTTTTTGTCTAATATTATAGTTCTAAGAGACTTAGCAGTTAGATCGCCTCTGGTTGTGACGTATCTGCCTGCTTATCGGCATGTCTTATTTTCCTGAAATTTTAGGCACAGAAAAATGAAAGAGAATCTATCCGACAGAAGTTGGCACTTGGAAGCTTCTTTGATGATGGCCCAGGAATTTATACCAGCTGTAGCAAAAGTGGGAAGCCAAGCCTTTCCTCCCGGTGAGTGTTTTGAGTTGATTTTCTGATATGTGCCTAATGGATTTTGTCATCTGACTATGTATGTCTAATAAGAGATATCCTTTAAATCCTTGAGGATTTTTTCCCCATAATACTGCCACCTTTATTTGCGTGCTAGACAGATCCCTCTCCACCTGTTTGTTGGGTTTGTTTTTTGGGTTTTAGCTTTGGGGATTTTTGGCCCATTTGCCCAGCCATTTGAGGTCAGATTTCTATATTTCATCTTTTTTCTAGACACAATTCTGATTTTGCATTGTGAAGGGGGAGTCAAGCTACACTCTTAAGCAAGCTGACTGGTGCTTGGAGAAGTGTGGCAGACCACCAGATTTCCCATTAAGCAGTCCCAAAGCATCCAGCCTGACCCCCCGATGCATTTGATTGCAATGAATACTGGTAACTGAGAAATACAATTCCCACTTTGATCATTGAATGTTTATTACAGAGCTTAAACTGTCCTGCAGGTGGTTTTTTTTTTTTTACCTTAATTGATTTCAGGGTATCACTGATCATTTGCATAACTTCTAATTCCAATTAAAATATATTAAAATTATGATTCTATCTAGAAAATAGGATTGTAGACCAGAGCTTCTCAAACTTTAATGTGCATATGTATCACCTGGGAATTGTGTTAAAATGCTGATTCTGATTTAGTAGGTTGGGGTGGGATGTAAGGTTCTGTATTTTTTTTTCTTTTTAATTAGTTAATTTATTTATTTTTGGCAGCGTTGGGTCTTCGTTGCTGCACTCAGGCTTTCTCTAGTTGCGGCGAGCAGGGCCTACTCTTCATTGCGGTGCGTGGGCTTCTCATTGCAGTGGCTTCTCTTGTTGCAGAGCGTGGGCTCTAGGTACACAGGCTTCAGCAGTTGCAGCACACAGCCTCGGTAGTTGTGCCTTGCAGGCTCTAGAGCACAGGCTCAGTGGCACACGGGCTTAGTTGCTCTGCGGCATGTGGGATCTTCCCGGACCAGGGCTCGAACCCGTGTCCCCTGCACTGGCAGGCGGATTCTTAACCACTTCACCACCAGGGAAGTCCCAAGATTCTGTATTTCTAACAAGCTCCCAGCTGATGTTCATGCTGCCAGTCCATAGGTCACACTTTGATTAGGGAGGGTATAGACAATCTGCAAAATTAACTATTATGAGTACAGGTATTCCAAGTGATTAAAGCACATAAAAGATTGTTTTAATAAAGATGGTAGTAACTGAAGACCCATCAGCATTCTCTTGATCCCTCCCCAAATATCCATTTCTTGTCACAATGCCTGGCTCTTCCTTTGGGCTTTCTAAGAGCAAATATCCCCTGTATAAATACTAGGTATACTTACCATGTTAAACCAGGTGTGGGAGACAAATGATAGCATTCATGCATTCATTCAGCCAACGGATTTCCACTCTTTCCTTCATATGAGGCCCAGAATTAGACACTTTAGTATCTATTTTATCGAGCTTTCAGCAAGCCTCATACTTCTGTCTGATCCTTACAGATTCATCTAAATCAGCAAAAATCAGAAAGCACACACACACTCATATATGTGCGTATTTAGGAGTCACTCCTGGTGAGTTAGTGCCTGGAGACAGGAGCTGTGGCCTGGCTATGCAGTGTTTAGGTGTGTCCTCCTCAGCTGGGTGTGGGCCAGCTCAGGCTCAGAGGATTCCCTCGCTCTCGGCATATGTCATTCCAGAGCTGGAAGGTCAGCCTTCCCCTTTGCTATGGAAGCACCTCTTTCTCCTCCTAGTGGGATGTGGCAGGAGGACCTCGGGCCTAGGGACCTGGACACCTGAGGGTTAGTCCCAGTCAGCTTCTAATTCTGAGACTTGAGCAATTTACTTAGTTTTTTACCATGCCTCAGTTTCCTCATTTTTGTAAAATGAGTAGATTGGACCCCATAGTCTTATAGATCTCTGCTACTGCCCTCTAGTAGTCCCCAAAGCACCAAAAAGTTTTCTTCTAGAAACCCCATCTCTTTGCTCAGCCATGTCATATCCATCTGGTCCAAACGGGAGCTGTGGTTTTTAAAATCGAAGTTGTGTGTGTGTGTGTGTGTGTGTATGTGTATTATATGACTTTGAAAGTAAAGTAGAATTAACTACAGAGTATATAATAACAACATAAAAGTAACAGTCCCTGGTCCCATCCCTCTCTATCCTCATCTCACTCTCCAGAAACAATAACTTTTAACTCCTTAGTTGTTTAAGCTGGTATTTATGTCTCTGAGTAAAATGCTTATCTTCTTACCTTTTACTTTTAAACCATTTACTGACTGCTAAATACGGAAGGTTGGGATTTAACTCTCTTTTACAGCCCTCCCACAGACATATCTATATATCCCTCCCCATCCTCCTAATATAATTACTTTATAATTTGGGGTCAAATAACTGTTCAATTTTACATTATTAAGGTCATATATTATTCACCTTGAACCATGTAGTAAACTATGATTACTTGAGAAATTTTATTGTTTGTTCTGAAATTTAAATTGCCCCATTTTCCCCTTTGCCAGTCCCTGATTTGACTGCTGTATTATATTCCACCATGTGAATGTATCTCTTCTGATGATAGGCATTGGGTTGTTTCAGAGGTTCTGCTTTTATAAACAGTGCTGCTTATAAACATCCTTGTATGTGTCTTCTGCTGTCTGTGTGCAAGAGTTTCTCTCTGGTGTGTACCTTGGACTGGTATTCCTAGGAAAATACATGAATGTTCCTATTTAGAAGATAATGCCAAACTGTTCAAAATAGTTGCACAAGTTACACTCCTACCAGCAATGCTTCAGAGATCCTGCGGATCTATATAGGCTTTCTAACACTCAATATTGTCAACTTCTTTCACACTTTTGTTAACTGAATGTGGGCATTAAATGATATTTCATTATGTTTATTAGCCATCTCTGTTTCCCCTTCTGTGAAATGTCTTTTTGGGCCTCATGTCCAAATTTCTATTGGATTCTTTATGTTTTTTTCATTGATTTATGGAAGTTCTTTAGTTATGATTCTAATCCTTAATATGCTGTATGTATGGCAAATATCTTCTCCCAGGTTGTAACTTGTCTTTTCACTTCCTCAATGTGTCTTTATGACCAGAAGTTCTTAATTTTAATGGTAATTTTTATCTAACTTTTCTTTTAGAGTCAGTGCTTTCTGAGGCTTCTATAAAAAATCTTCTTCTATCCTAAGGTCCAAAAGGCGTTAACCTAGATTTCCTGTTAAGAGTTAAAAGTGTTTTTTTTTTTTAAGTCTGTAAGCAATCAGGGGTTGGTTTCCTGATTTGGAATGGAGAAGTCTAATTTCATCTTTTTCCATATACATGACCATTTTTTCCATCATATTTATTAGTAACAATTCTCTTTTACTGACTGATCTAACAGACCACTTATGTATGACTATACATTAATGGGAATACATTCTATTTCACTGGTTAGTGTTTCTATCCCTGCACCAGTACCATACAATTTTAATTACTATAGCTTCAAAATAAGTCCTGATATCTCGACTCTTTACTCTTTTACTGCCTATTCTTGGTTTTTTATTCTTCCATATAAATTTTAAATCATCAAATCAAGTTCAGCAAAATACTGTCTTGGGATTTTTGACTAGAATTGCACTGAATCTGGAAATATTGGGCTGGCCAAAAAGTCCGTTCTGGTTTTTCCATAAGATGTTATGGAAAAACCCGAACGAACTTACGGAAAACGAACTTACGGAAAAACCCAAACGAACTTTTTGGCCAACCCAATAATTTAGGGGAGAATTACATTTTCACAGTATTAAATTTTCCTATCCCTGTTTTCCATTTAGAGATACTGCATATCTTTTGTTATATTTATTTCTACATATTTGATATTCTGATATTATCTTAAATTCTCTTAGATAATGCTTTCTTGTTGTTTGCTGCAGCTTACTTTGTACACTAGTCGTGTATCCAGCCATTTCGTTATTATTATACCTAGTATTTCTCTACTCTTCTATTATTTCCAGTAAAGTTGTCTGTACATTCTTTGGACGTTTAAAACAATATCATCTACAAAAAATAGCAGCTTTTAAAATTCCTTTCTGTCCTCCTACTTCTGGTTTCTTTCTTTGTTTTACTGCACTGGATAGGTACCCTAGTACACTGAGGATTAAAAATGGTAGTAGTTGGAATCCTTAGCTCATTTCTCATATTAAATGGAATGCTTCTAATGTTTCCATTTAGGATGATGTTAATTTTATGTTTTCTTTAATTTTACTCTTTATGAGATTAACATTGTTCCCTTATATTCATAATTTTAAAAACATTTTTATCATGAATGGGTTTTTGATGTTATCATGTGCTTTTTCTGCATCTATTGAGATGATTGTATGATTTTCTCTATTAATCTATTAATGAATTACATTTATAGATTTTCAAAATATTGAACAATCTTTGCATACCTATTATAAACCAAAATTGGTTGGGGGTATTATCTTTTTTTGAACAGTATTGGATTTTATACATAGTATTTTATTTAGGGTTGTTATACTTACATTCATGAGTCACATGGGTCTGTTGTATTCTTTTCTTGTAACTTTTTTTTCTGGTTTTAGTATAAGTTTATGCTGGTGTAAATGAATTAGCTACTATTCCCCCTTTCGTATTGTCTAAGAAAAGTCTACATAATATTGGAATGAGCTGTTTCTTACCAATATAACCATCTGGGCCCAGTGTCTACTTTGTATGTTTGATTTTAACAGCTTCTGTTTTTTAAGTGGTTTTAAGATTGTACACACTTTTGATTTCTTCTTGAGTCAGTTCTGATGAGTTGTATTTTCTAAGAATTTGTCCATTTTGTTTATGTTTTCAAAATTTTTCCCATCATGCTTTCTCATTTCACTGAGGGCATTAATTTTAGTTAAATTGTTCAAAATGTTTCCTTCTGATTTCTACGTTGTCCATGATTTTTTCTGAGTTTGTTTTTTTGTTCATTTTGATTTCTATTAATAATTAAGTGTAAAACACTAAAAGC